TGAACTTTGACTTTAAATCAAACCCCAACCATAACCCCACCCTTTGAGCCTAAGCCTAACCCTCTGACCTTTGCTCCTAAGTTTAACTGTCAACACTAACCATAAAAACCCCTGACCTCTGACCTCTGACAGGCTCAGACCCTGACAGGAACCCTGGGCCCATCACCTTACATGATCCTCCCCCTCCTCGAAGCCCTCAAGGAGTGAGGTCATAGCTGGAGGCCTGGGTGGGGTGACAGGGATCGTGCAGGTGGAGCCGGAGCAGTGATGGACTGTGCACAAATTCTAATTGTTCTAATCCTAACCCCTCATCCTGAATTACTAATTATATCTATTTATATATAGCCAATTATAGCCATTTTTCATTTTCCAGTAGTTAATGAGATATTTTGCTAACACACATCCATGTACACTGACTAGGCAGTGGGAGATAAAAACACAGAATAGAATGTAAAATATTTTGGTTCAATCATGATAATTTATTCTGAGCACTTTGGGGAAAACTAACGTAATTCTTATAAATTTGATTTTAGATGGAATTTTAAATCAATTTAATATGACATTACATTTTATAGTGACTTTTTTTTTTTTTTAACCACAATTGCTAAAAGTCTGTTCATCAGCAACTTTCTGTATCGCTTTAATTAGATGTGCTGCCCTTTGAGCTCTTAAAGGTTTAATGGACTGTTTTTAAATGACTTTTTTGTCTGAGTTTTACCTTTTTTATCTCCACAATTATAGACTGAACCTTTTCAGTCTCCACTTTAAATCAATCTGCGCTGGCAGAGCTTCAAAGTTTAAATGAGTTTTAAATGGACTCCTGCTTCTTACATCCCTTTACTCTCATTTAGAAGCACATCTGATTCTTCTTTTAAACTTTTTTTTATTAGTTTAATACATGCAGCATTTCTGTTTGACTGATGAAAGGTAAAGTATTTGAGTTAGATAACAAAGATCCCAAAGATAAAACCGGTTCCAGTATCGTCAAAGACAGAAACAGTTTGGTACCTCCAATCAGAGCCGAGTCGGTCCTGATGGCATTGACTAAAGGCTGACCAGAACCCACAGAATCAGACTGGTCTAAAGCAGAGAGGGGGAAAAAGGGAATGGAAATATAAAAGACAAGAAATGTCCAAATGAAAAGGCAAAAATAGATGGTAGGAGCACAGATGAAGGTTAGACAGTGACAGAAAGTTCAGTTCAGAACAAATTCTGCATCAACTTCAGAGACAACCAGAACAAATTTAACAAACTAAAGAAGTCCAGAAGAAGAAAAACTCTGATGAAATCACCTAAAACAGCATTTAAGACAATGTTGGTACTTCTTGAAGAGTTTTAAAAATGGACAACGTACATCTTTGGATTTGGTTGTCCTTCTCTTACGCACCTGTCTCAGGTAATACTGTCACTGTAAAGACGTTGGAACCAGGGATGCAGACTGACATGAAGAACTCAAATAATTTACAACTTTATTTAAAGAAAAATAACAGTAACAGCAAAAAATAAATAAAGATACCAAAGTTTATGCTCAATAATCCAGGTATAAAATCCAACATTGTTCAGTCAGGTCATCTGGGTGGTTTCTTTTTTTTTTTTTCTGAGACATTTCAACTTTCATCCAAAGGACTTCTTCAATGGGAGGAGCCAACAAACAAACTGAGTCCCACAAACGGCAGTGTGTGGGAAAAAAACAAAAAAAACAGCTTGCTGGTGCTAAGATGGCCTCCGGGGCCCGCCCTCCCCCCATCAACGCTTCTAAGACAGTGATGCCAAAGTGGTTCAGAACACCAAAGTTCATGCTCAATAAAAATAAAGATGAGGATTCGAGGGGACTGAAGGAGAACCAGACGTGGCATGAAGCACACACAATGCTCACCTGAACATGGAGTTTAAACTGAAGCACTAAACAGACTTGGACTAATGAGGAGACGGCTGCAGCTGAGACTAGAGCTGTCATTTCTAACCTGAAGCCGGAGCCCGGCCCGGCCCAGCCCAACCCAGATTCAAACGGGACCAGCCCAGGCCTTAATAATGTGCTTAATGTGTGGGCCAGGTCAGTGTCAAGCTTTTTATTGCATCAGCGGACCATCCAATCATATGCCAACATGGCTTGCCATACAATCACCAGCTGCACACGGCCATTTGACCGATTTAATGCGCTTTGATGGCTCCTCAGCTCCGATCTTCTGCCCACTTTCCTCACCTGCGTGCGTCCACCAACCGTTAATAATAGTTGGTGGTATAAGCAGTCAAAGCTTAATTAAAACTGTCAGGTTTTTCGGGTTCAGACCTGTAATTACCGTTAATTCATCGGCTCGAGTGGGGTTCAGAAATTATGGCTACGGGTCAGGTCAGATTTTTTTGGACCCGAGTGCAACTCTAGCTGAGACTAATAGGAAAAGGGAACAGGTGTAGAAGGGCGTGGCAGGACAGAGGAGAGCATGAAAGAAGGAACAGACCAGAAAGAAACCCAAGAATCACAAAACAAAAAGAACAAATATGATATTCGAAGGAGAGAAACAGTAAACAATGAAACTACCAAAAATCATCAAAAAGACACAGAAGGTGTAATTTATGTTTTTTGTTCTGAAAGACTCGAGCAGTAACATTAGTCATAAAAACAAGCATTTGTTCATTAGTGACAAAAATCCTGACTGCAGTAAAAACTGTAACTATAGGAACAAAACTCCAGAGCCGTCAGACATTTGATAATAACTGGTGGAAAGTCTTTGAAAGAAATTCTATAAATCTTTACAGCTTTAGGGGAAAAGAAGAAAGCCAGTAGGTTTCAAGAGACCGCCATTATTTTCATCCTCCTTGTTGAGTCTTCCTGTTTATTAAATCTAATAACAAGTTAAACTTGATTAAACCAAAGAGATGAAACTGAATCCAGATCTGGAACAAATGTTGTGACAGCACAAACCTCATGGAGCAGAACTAAATCTTCTAAGATTGAACTCATCTGTCATCTATAAAAGAAATGGCGAAGGACGCAAATAGAAACTCAGCAGGCAGTTAAAGTTTATAAAAAAAAGTTTATAAATATTCAATAAACTAACACAAGAGCTGAGATGTTATAATAAATTAGTATATAGTATAATTCAGAAAAATAAAAAGCAAAATTTTTAAAACAAAGAACTAAAGCAGAAATAAGAACTCCTGACACCAGATTTATAATTAAAGGCAGGTGTGGTGATTACTACACTGAAGCAGGTTTGGGGAAGCAGGAACCAAAATAAATAAATAATAATAATAATAATAAACCCCCAACCTATGAATTAATCTTGGCCTAAGAGGGAGAAAAATATAAATGCGGAGAAACGTATTTTTAAAAACGAGTAAAATAACCATTTATTGTCCTTTAAAGCCTCTTTAGCTACAACATGTTTTGAATCTCATTCGACATAAAACAACATTCACTCAGACCAAAACTTCTCAGCCTGAAAACTTTATCTGAAGTTCGTCATAAACTGAACCCGTGCAGAACAGAACCTCGGCTCTGGCTGACCTGAAAGCCGGTGTGTGTTTTCGGCTGCGTAGGGATTGGCTGAGGCCAGAGAGCCACAGCTGGACTGAACCAAAGGTCCGGTGATGACGACGGGGCGGGTGTCTGGGTGGAGCAGAGCCGCCTTCAGGGGGCTGATGGAGTTGAACTGGACCACTGACAGGCAGCCGGCGAAACCCAGAGACGCCAGCCGGGCCAGGGGAGGATCCAAGTCCTCAGACTCTGCAGAGGGGACAAGAAAATTCACCCATGCAGCAACGCAGTTTACACATTAAACACTTTAAGAACTACATTTCTTTCAATATAAACCTTTAACAAAACTTGGATCTTAGTATGTTTTATTCAGAATATCAAAATAAAAACATAGGCAGTTAAAAATCTATAACTTGTTGAGATGATGGCAGGCGATTATAACTCAATTTATTTCTGTTGTGCACTATTTAAATCTTCATAATAATAAATTGTATGTAAACCTGACGTTAAAATGGTTCTTTTCACAGTAAAGTGCTTAATGATTTGTCTTTTTCATATTACTTCTCCTATCTGCACCCACTATGAGTAAACCACTTCACCACTTGCTCTTGTTGAGGGCGGACACATTTCCCTCTCCTCTTCTCTGCTTTACTGCTCTGTCCTGTTCTATCTGTGAAACTGCTTCTGAGCCTTTCTCTACATATCTTCCGAACCATAATTTTTGCTATGGATCTGGTCAGTTGGTCTCGCAACGCAATTGATAAAAATTTTGAGACAAGCTTCAGGCAAGCCGTACTGTCCTGACGACACGCACGCACCTGTCTTCGACTCCTGGGGGAAGTGGAATGTGATGTGTCTATCTCTGCTGTCGATCGAGGACGTCGAAGATGCATGTATAGTTGGATTAATGATAACAGATTTCCTGGTTTTTGAAATCGGCTAGTTCCTGGTTTATCAACATACAAAGAAGACGGCTGAAGCTAATCTGGCCTGGTCAGACTGCCGGCCTCATTTGATGGTTTGTTCCATGTCTCGAGCACACATCAAATGCTTACAGAACTGAACTGTAAATTGGATGTGATTTGTGAGAATCGCAGACCATTTGCGGCCTCCAGGACTCGCTGGCAGGAAGGATCAGATCTTGGGGAATATTCTCAGGCACGGACCAGTGGTGTGTCCATTTAATTTGGACGTTTTGGAACCTACGTGAGACCAGCAAAGACTCAAGGCAGATATAAATCAGTAAAGTTCTGCCTGTCTCCAAAGCAAATGTTGTTTATCGGAATTTGGCTCCCTCGGCTGGCCTTGGCAAGCCATCTTATCTCAATTCGCCTGGAGGCTTTTTATATCTGATGCTCTGCCCCCTCCCACCGAGGAAGTCTACGGACCTATCAGGGGAAACCGGCTGAATAAACATTGTGTCATGACTTTATGACTCTTGGATTCTCACTGGCACTGTCCTTAGCCAACCTCGGCACCCACGATAATGTTTAGGATCTCACCAGAGGGAATTGGCTGATTATTCCATCTTACCAGAACTCCTACAGTGCCTCCGGGAGCGTCCTTGGACACGCTCACCGCCCTTGTCGTCCTCCCCTCCCCTGCGGAATGTCTACGTCACCATGTGCTTATGTGCGCGGGGTGTTTTTTTTTATTTTTTATTTCATGCTCTCTCATTGGCCATTGAGAGAGACTGTTAGGATTTTTTTTTTGTATGTTGTTACTTTCACAACTTTTTTGTCCGTCTAAACAGGTCACACTTGTAAAAGAGTCTTTGAGACTCAATGTGATTTATCTGTAAAAATAAAGGTTGAAAGATGAGCACATTCAAAGCATCATGAGTGATTTTTTTTTTTTTTGGTACCCAAGAATTATGGTTACAAATTGACCAAAATAACTAACTGACCTGGAGTTGATTAGTTTCTTTATTATATAATGTAGAGCAACAAAACAAGAACTGACAACTCAGGGTCACGGTGTTTTTCATCGCTCATCCACAAAATGTCAACCAACACAAATCGTTTCTGTGACACTTTAGCCCGTTCTTCCTTTTATCTGTTCGTCTGAGTGACTTGACTCTCCATCATTCATGTGCGCTCCTTCACAGAGATGTAAACAGCAGCTGTCGGAGCCGACACCACCGTGGCAAACAGCTGCATCAGTGTCTGATCAGACGACTGAAAGCTGACTGGGGTTTTCTTTTCCACCTGAACACATCTGCATGTTGAGGAGAGCGTCGGGAAACGAGCTCCTCTCAGCTGACGCTCTGCTCGCTGCAGACTGATGGATGAGGAGGTGGGGAGGAAACAACAGCAAATCCACTTTACTGCTGTTTATTTAAATATTATTTTTGTTTTTATTCTGATCAGACTCTGCCTTCTCAGTTTGACAGAGAGGACGATGGACCGTATGTCAAGATGACGGAGTTTAAACGTCCTCACTCCCTCTGGTTGAACTTTGTGCCACACACTGCAACTAAATCTAGATTTACGGAGTCGCCTAAAAGTACCGGCTTCAGTTTGTTACAAATTAAAAACAAGCAGTAAGACAAAAAGTCCCCCCATCACTGACAGATTTGAATTTTGAATGTTTGTAGTTTTTGGAATGAGTGTTTTTCTGGACAGAAATTTAACAGTGAATGCAAGAAAACCTGGATGTTCTGGTGCAAGATATTCAACTGGGTTGGAGTTACACTGTAGAAGAAGAATGGCAGCACAAAGTGATTGATCCTGGAGAGTGGAGGGAGCAATTTTATCCACCACCAGGTCCAGTGGAGGAGCCAGGGGGTGGCCAATGGGGGTCACAACCACCATAGATAAATCTTCAGCCACACCCAAACATTTGAGGAAGTTGTACTTTTAGGCCCAACAAAGTTCAGTCAGGTCATCTGGACAGTTTCTTTCTTTTTCTCTTTATTTTTTGTTCAGACGTTTCGTCCTTCATCCAAAGGACTTCATCAATCTGAGGAGCCACAAACAAACTGAGTCCCATAAGCAGAACAGTACAGCTTGTTTGTGGCTCCTCGGATTGATGAAGTCCTTTGGATAAAGGACAAAACATCTAAAAAAATAAAATAAAATGAAACCGTCCACATGACCTGACTGAACTTTATTGGATTTTCAACCTGGATTATTGAACACGAACCTTGATGCACTTTTAGACAAAATAAAAACTAACAAGTGTCTGTCTGTCATCTATCTATATGTATATATGTATGTATGTGTGTGTATATATATATGTATATAAACTAAGAATAAAATCAATGTCTCAGGTGGTATCAAAAGCCAAGAAGAAGAAATGGTTTTAAAGAAGTGATTTAAAAACTTCAAATTTGATCTTAAAAAGTTAAGATCGCAGGACCAGCCTCAGAGATTTCAGTCCAGAAGACCACAGTCCTCGGAACAGCTGAGATACTGAACAGAACCCTCAAGCTCCCAGGCCTCTGGTAGAGGACCAGTTTGAAGTGAACTGGAACTTCCCAAGTGGAAGAGAAGGCAACCCAGTCTTTGATAGAGGCCTTTCTTACACCTACATGTAGCCACACACTAAACTGAAAGTTGGTGCCTCTCGTATTCAGCTTTTCATGCTCACAGTTGGACACATGGACAAATGGACAGTTGGACAGATGGACAGTTGGACAGAGGGTATTTCCAATCCACCTGTTCACTTTACAATACAATACAGCATTATACACAATCATGGGACATCACAAGATGTCACGCTCAGAATATGCATTATAGACCAAATTGTTGCTAAATATCTATAAAATTGACAGCTTTGTAGCATTTATGTGTTTTTTTTTAATAGTTTAATTAAAATCTGCACATCTATATAATAGATAAACTGCTAACACAATTCCCTGCCCTTCATGGCAGTGAGACGACTTCTACTTTCCCCGTTAATAACCAGATGATTCTTTTTGGTTCTGTCTGCGGTGATGTCAAACAGAGCTGTGGCTGCAGCCTCTCCGCCCCTCACGTTATTCACAGCTTCATATTTCAGAAAGTCTTCAAAGGAGCCGCTCAGAGGCAGCATGAATAAATCATGACAGAACCAATTACTCTCGTCACCCTGACACTTTTACAATTCCCTGTCCAGGAAGGAGAGCCTAAGTGGATAAATCATGGCGCTGGACCACCACATGTTGGTGACTCTCCGCAGTAAGGCAGAGAAATGGACTCTAATGCTCATGTGGAGGACAGGCAGCGTGCGACGCCACCTGGATTGTCACAAAGTGTAGCACTTAAACACACGGTGAAGAAACATCAAACTGACTAAGATCAGGTTCTAAGGTTCTGTCTTGTCAACATGGTTTTCATGCACAGAAAGAGATTTACGAACACCTAGTTGTTACGGTTTGGAGGGGAGGTTTGGTGTGTTTGGTTTGTTTTTCATATTTTTATTTTATTTTTTTGCATATCCATGTTTTTACGTTGCGTATCTGTTTTCTGTTCTCCGAATTTTTCTGCCACTGTTTTTATTTCAGTCTGTTTCTTGTTCAGTCTGCTCCCCTCAGTTCTATGTCTTACCTTTCACCCACCTGCTGTGCATCTATAATCATCCCAGCTGCACTCACTCACTAATCAAACCTCCCCAGCAGATAAAAAGCTCCTCGTTTCGATCATTCTCTGTCAGAGTCTCTTATGTAAAACCCCTGGATTTGATCACCTGTAGCTTTTGGTTTGGTTTCTGTTTAATAAATACTTCTTTTGAGGAATCTACCAGCCTGCACTCTTGGCTCCTCAACCAAACATCAACATTTGTTGCACTAAGGGGTCAATTAGGTGGTTTTAATGTGTTTAGAAAAATTGTTGGAATTTAAACTGGTTTATTTAAGCATTAAAACTGTTCACTGATTTGACACTTTTGAGACAGACTGAACAAATCAGCTACCGTAATTTCTGGACTATAAGCCGTTACTTTTTTCACACGCTTTGAACAAACATTGTGGCTTATACACTGCTGTGATTATTTTTTTTAAAACCTCGGCTAACGAGCTTCATGCTGCCAAAACATTTAGCCTCATCACACCCGTGCGCTCACATAGCTGCCCAATTTACTTCTCTCTTGGGGGGGACCTTGTGACTCAAAGAATACCTGACCTGTATAAATAAAGGTTAAAAATTTTAATCTGTCAAATTAAATTACCACAAAGTTCACAGTGGACAAATAAAGGGGAGGGGAGGCCATTTAGTGGGCGTGGCTTATATTCAGGTGCGCTCAATAGGCTAGAAATTACGGTAATTTGTGTTCGCTGTCGCAAAGCCAAATGAGGGAATTGGAATCAAAACTATCAGTTTGTGAATGTTGTGAACAAAACTTAAAATTGTGAGGTGAAAGTGAGGTACCAACTTCTATTTTGGTGTGGGGCAGAGTCTATGCAGGTGAAGTCATCCATGTCATGATCGATCCAAAACATCTTAAAAGAAAAACAGACTTCTATTCAGAAGCTGAAGATGATTCGCTTGCCATCCAGGCGACTTTTTCTTCTTCCCAATTATTAAAAAAAGTTGTATGTGGAGCTCCAAGCTTTCTAGAACTGCATGAGAGGACTCATGACTAGACTTTGTTGGTTCATGAGAGAGATGTTGTGGTCACATGATAATGCTTTGTTGTTGGATTTTGAAAGTTAAAATCTGAGAACTCTCCACAACTAGGTTAATTTTAACTTTTATCGGTGGCTGCATCTAGGTGTATGAAAGTTTCCTTTTGAAAATTGGGTTGCCAGATCAAAATCCAATATGGCTGTTGCCATGCACCCTGCATCTGTTCGTCCATCCATCAGTGAATGTTGTGAGCGCATTAACTTAAAATAAAATGAGATGCCATCTTTCATTTATGGTGTATAGGTGTATGAAAGGTTCCTTTAGAAAAGTGGGTTGCCAGTTCATAATCCAAGATAGCCACCACCATATGTATATGTAAACTAGTCACCCCAATCATTTGAGGAACCAATACGTTCTAGTTTTATATTGCTTAAGAGTATAGTTTCCTAAAATGATTGGGGTGGCCAAATATTAATCTAGTGACCAAGGCCACCATTGGCCACCCCCTGGCTCCACCACTGCACCTGGTGGTAAATGAATCTACTCCCTCCACTCACCAGGATCTGTCACTCTGCACCACCTCGAACAAAAAACAAAGCTACCTCTGTTCTTCTCCACAGTGAAAGAGAGAGATTGTTTGTCTCCGTGTCTCTGTGATGGACTGGAGACCTGTACAGGGTGTACCCCGCCCCTTGCCCAGTGTTTGCTGGACATGGGCACCGGCGACCTCCATGACCCAAAATGGAAGAAGTGGGTAAAAAAGATAATGAATGGATGAATGTTTAGCTTGGAAAATACATATTTAGGTCTGAGCTAAATATTTAGTTAGCAAATTAAACATTTAGTTTAGGAATTAAATGTTTAGCTTAGAAATTAAATGGTTAGTTTGGAAATTTAATAATTAGCTTGAACAATAAATATTTAATTTTGGAAATTACGGTAAATGTTTAGTTTTGAAAATATTTAGCTTGGAAATTAAATATGTAGTTTACGCCTAAATATTTCGTTTACTAACTAAATATTTAACTTGCAAGTTATGTATTTAGTTTGTAAACTAAATATTTAGCTTGTACATTAAATATATTTTTTAATTTGGAACTATGCTATATTTATAAATGTATGAATAACATGTTGAACATATGACTTTGAAATAAAATAAACTTCATTTTTTTCTTATGAAAGGCTAAATAAACCAAAATATTGCTGTTAATTTGTGACCGTATAACTTTATAAACAGCACCCCATATATCACGTTCAGCAGGACGTCGTGTTTTATATTAGAAGCAACAATCTGCTTCTGTTCCTCATCCCCAGACCAGATCAGGTCTGAGACGCTCTTAACTTCCATGTCATCTGCGATGTAAATGAAGGTGAATAACGAGCTTTCTTTTTCACTCCAAACTAGCAAACACTTCTTTTATTATATTAAAGTAATTTTTCAGTGTAAAAAAAAAAAAAAAAAAACAGATTCAGTTACGTTCTCGTTTCTTTTGGTTTTTGTGAAGAAGGGACACGCTGTCAGACTCTCAGCTCTGATGTTCAGCCCCCACTAAGTGCTCTTAAGCCCTAAAAGCTTCTCTTTCTGTTTTTACCGGCTCCTCGCTTACCATGCACTCTGCCTAACACCAGGGACTTGATGGCATTAAACTCTCCGTCAGACGTGAGGTTGAAGACTTCTCTGGGGTTCTGATCAACCTGAGGAGAAAACATCTATTAGCTGTGATTCTACTTGTTAGTGTAAGCAAGCAGAAAGAACAAAATGCACCAAAATGTACAAGGAAACATCTGTTTACTGCATTCGATTTGGTGATTTTGGGGATTGAGCAGCTGCAAATGAACGTTTCTGTGCAATTAGAAAATGTTTTGAAATTAACTTTTTTAATTGGCTTGATACAAATCCATATAATGTAATGACACTAAAGTCTGAGCACAATATATAATGGCAAGCTACTCCTCTGAAATACCAGTACTAATACTACTAGCAGTGATACTCAGATTTTGATATAAGTACTGAAGTAAAACTAGACGGTGCAGAATACAACCAGGACTCTTGACACGTTAACAATCCTCCAGACAGACAACTCACTGGAGTCAGGAGTGTATATCCATTATGTCTTTTCCATGCACACTGCTGCGTTTCATATTTTAAGAAGAAAACAAAAACAATAATTTACATTTACACACGTTTTCCAAGCAGCTGTCAGTGAGAGCCAGTCCATCACAGAGTCAGTTTCTCACTCACGTTTAGTGACAGATCAGAGCAGTCAGCCTATAACGTGCATGTTTTTGGATTGTGGGAGGAAAAGCAGAGTACCGGAGGAAACTCGCGTGCACGGAGAGAACATCCAGACTCCACACCAGTTAAACCTGTGAGCTGACGTCTCGAACCACCATGCTGACCCCAGAAACGGCCTTTTTCTAAACATATGTCTAAATAATCACCTGAACTTGCGAAAACTGCTGTGGTCACTGGTCAAAGATTCGAAGGATATTATCTCCAGAAAAATTTACCGACATACCTATCATTTAATTACCGTGTTTCAACTTGTAGTCACGGGGAGGTGGTGCCAATCTTCAGCGATCATTGAGCAAAAGGTGGAGATGCACCCTGGCTGTCAGTGACACATCTCTCTAACACGAACGTCCGTCAAATCAAACTCGCTTTTCGCCCGGTCGGGGAGATGATGAAGTAACGAGGATTGTTGTTCCATCAGCGTGAATCGCTCGGTAAAGTTCGCTCTGTGTCGTCGAAGCGCGTCACCAACAAGATTCACGGTGCTGGACGGGGTCATCTTTCACCAAAGCTTCACGCAACGAGGTCACCTTTTAGCTCGCGTTGTTTATAATTAAATGATGGCTCCATGTTGGAACGATTTGCTTCATTCATCATCTCGGGTATTTTATAGATCAGATTAAAGTGTCATGTTTGGACTAAAGCATTTGTAACTCCTTATCGCTGCTCCGTGTCGCAGACACTTGGATCTGATTCATTTTATAAAGCAGAAGGAGCTCAGGCCACTTCAGCTCCCAGATGGTGCTTCGATTCAGTCAATCCTTTCTGTTTCGGCTCTTTTTAGTGATAATAGCTGAATGTTTCCCCCAATTGCTGTTTTATGTCATGAGTTTTTGCATCATAATCCCCCTTTCAACCAGTTATAGAGTATTTGAGTTCAACATCTCAGACTAGTAAACAGAAAACCTAATCCGTGGCTGTTTCGCTCATGTTGAAGCACTTTCTGGTTCATTTGAATGTGTAATGGCCAAAGTGGTAGAACAACTAACATATTTTTCACCCTATAAGTCACGTTTTTTTGCATAAATTGCATGCCCTGCAACTTATACACCGAAGCAACTTATTTATGGATTATCCCCGTATTTATAAACCAAATTTTGGCTGAGATATGACCGTTTTCATTCATTCTGACTGAAAATATTCAACACTACCATTATCAGCCGCTAGATGACAGTCGAGTAGTAAGACATGCTGTTGTGTCATGTAATAGGTAAAAGTGGCTATTAATGACACAATTGGCTTGCCTTAGAAGTCACCTTCGTCCAGCTCACTTGGCGCAACCGTCAAATCAGCTTCATTTCGCTGCGTCGTCCCGGAGATATGCAGCTGATTTGACCATAAAAGTGCATTTATTAAGTAAAAGTTCAACCGAGACACACCTTTACTATAATGTCGAGCAAACAAATAATTGTTTTTAAGTGCTAATCTCGTTAAATTCTTGTTAAAGTCAATCCGTGCACGCTCCTGCGGCTGCCATTTTGCAGCCAATTGATTTTTGGCACCGGCGCACGTTTCCAGGTCGTCAGCAGTGACGTGTAATAGATGCAGCTCATATTGCGAAGCAACGTATTTATGAATTTTCCCACTTTATTAGACATATTTGGACTAATGCGACATGTACGGCGGAAAATACGGTACACACCACTGATAACCGCTGCCGTTTGCACAGCTGCTTTGATTTTTTTCATCCACAATGAAGTGGTTTTTTATGTTTTTTGTTGCGGACTAGATGCGACACTTACCAAATATTTTTAAATAAAATGAATGTTGAAGTTAAAGTTGATGTTTTTGTATTATCTTTTTTTTCTTTTCACATTAAACTAAGTGGAAAATAAAGGCTATTTTCCGCAGTTATTATGATAAAAAGAGCCGATTTGACATTTTTAAGGAACCTTTCCATGAACTAGAAAACAATGGTTGCTCTTCAGTCTCTCGGCTGCAGATTAACGTTTGAACTAGAGGCCACTTCCTGCCCTTTACAGACTGTGATAACAAGACGCGTGCATGAAAGATTATTGGGGTCATTTTTAAATAGTTGGATACATAAAGGCATTCTAGATAAGGCAGACAATAGACTTAAACTTTCTGGAAAAAAGCTTTTTTTGTGTGAGACGGAACTGATGTCTAACATGTCATGCCACTTCTTCAACTAGAGTTCAATTTTATCCTCTTTTTCTATTTTGTTGCTTTACAGCATGGAATTTAGTAGAATTTTTATTTTAATTAAAAGCAATAAATCTGAAAAAAAATTAATTGAATGAAGTTAAATATGTAAAAACTTGATTTAAATATAAAATAAATAAATAAAAGTACAAATGTCTTCAGGCCCTAAATCTCAACGGAGGCCCTTCTCGCGGCCGCTCCAGCATCAAGTCTCTCCAGGTTTGTGTCTTTATGATCAAACTGCTGCAGCTCCTTCAGGTTGGACGGGTGCACATCGTGCCCAACAGTTTAAATAAAGCCAGAGATTCTCAGTTGGACTTAGATCTGAGCTTTGACCAGACCAGGACAGTTCTCTTTAAACCAGTGGTGTGTTCAGGTCATCGTCCTCCTGGAAGGGGGACCTCCGTCCAACCTCAAGTCTCTGGAAGACTCCAACAAGTTCCTCTCTAGAATGTGGGCGGCTGTGGCTGAGTGGTTGGAGCAGTCGTCCTCCAATGCAAGAGTTGGGGGTTCGATTCCACCTGCAGTCACATGCTGAAGTGTCTCTTGGCAAGACACTGAACCCCTCATTGCCTCTGATGTGTGTCCCATCAGTGCATGAATGTGATAAAGCTCTGATTATTCTTTGTACAGATCTAGTATAGAGCTGTATGAATGGGTGAATGAGGCGCAGATTGTGTTGTAAAGAACTTTGAGTGTCTTGATAAGATAGAAAGATGCTATAAGTACAGTCTATTTCTTGTCCATCCATCAACTCTGACCAGTTTCCCATCCCCTGCTGATGAAGCATGAAGCTGCCACCACCATGTTTCACAGCGGTGATGGTGTTCTCATCGTTTGGCCTCATTCAAACCAGTGCAGCGTTTTCTTTAATCAGTCCAGACATGTTTAAAGCCCAGCTCTGTGGAGCTCATCGTGGTCCCATGGACAGACTCTAATCTCTGAAGAAAGTCTTCAGGGTTATCTTTGGCCTCCTGAATGTTTCTCTGATCAATGCCCTCCTCACCTGGTCTGAGTTTTGGTGGACGATCCTCCACTGGCAGGTTTGCTGTGGTGTCACTTCTTCTATCTTCTAATAATGGATGGATTGATTGGCGCTCTGTGGGATGCTCAGGATTCTGGGATGGCTTTATTTATTAATATTTTTTTTACCTGTTCTTCATAAATTTGACCTGTGTGGAGAGTTCCTTGGTCTTCATGATGCCTCTTGCTTGATGGTGGACCTACTTCTTAAAGATGTTGCGCGGCTGTTCATCCTCGGGGCCATCAGAACAAGTTTAAAACGTCTGATGTTAAAATGACTCACAAATGGACCTTATTATTGAACTATGTGTCTTCTGAAGGTCATGGGGTTTAGTGCAGAAGGCCTGAATAAATACAGTTTTACATTTTTTTAAACTTGTTTAAAATTTTCCATTAATCGTCATTAATCTGGTGTATTTTTAGTTTTAAATATATTTCTTTTGATCAAATTAGAAAAAAAAATCCAATTAAATTCCAGGTTGTGGGGTAACAAAGGATTACCAGTGGTACGTCTGCAGGGCTGTGCAGCTTGTTGTTCAGCTCACCTGCACTGAAACGGCGTGTGTCAGCCTCCGGACGGTCACCGTGTGCAGCCGCCCGTTGGCCAGGCTCCTCCCGCTGCTCCTCAGCACGTCGGCATCTCGGCTGCTGTCCAGCTTGTATCTCACCTCCAGCTTATCTGAACACAAAGTTCATATTCGCAGCTGAAACTTGTGTCTTGATGAAAACATCCTTGTTTTTGTTCTCTGTTTTCCACGTGTGCTTGTGGAAGCCTCTTTTCACCTGAGGGATGAATCTGAATGATAAGTATCTGAGTTAATGAAGCTTTGCGTGCAAAGAGGATTAGGAGATAATTCCACGTCTATAAAATTTCATTTCTAATTAAATTTCCTAATAATAAGAGCATTAGACGTGGATTGAGTGATAATATTATTTCTTTAGGCTTTTAAGATTAAAAAGGATAAACTTTCACGTCATCTAAATTTGTACTTTTTTTTTTACTTACAAGTAAAATTAATCTCTTTTCGAACACATTGTGAGTAGAATTTACTCCCAATTTCACTTGTTTTTTTTAAATGATCAATTTGTTGTTTATTCGGTTTGATGTAGTTTCCTTCCTTCCACATAAATATGTGGAAAAATACTATATATATAGGTAAATATATATTTATGGAACATTAAAAGGTTTACTAGGGGCAGAGGAACTAAAGGAAAACTCTCGGGTTTATTTGGACACTCAGGTTTTTTTTACCAGTCGACTTCACGGCCAGCGCAGAACCTTAATGCCTGTTTCCCATTACCACTCTCCGAGCCATTAAGGCCAGAAAAAGAGTCTATTTAGAGCTAATCTAGCTGCAAAGTGTCAATTTTCTGAGACTCCCGGCTGCTTAAAACGTAATTCTAAGTTGAAAGTTTCTCTGCTACAACTTTTAAAAGCCACAAATTAATTATTTAAGAAAGTCTGCAGCCATTTTATCCAGTGTTTCACTGATTTATTCGCAGCCTCAAAAAGCGTCGCTCCTGCAGCACCAACACTCAACCTTAAAAAGACCAATATATGAAAGCTGGCAAAGCTGGATTGGTAAAAATATACTTTTTTTTGTTTGTTTTAATATATTTTTAACAGGTTTAATGCAGAGAGATAAAAATCTGTCAGCTTTTTGTGAATCTGGAGAGGCTGCACTGCAGAAACTGAGCAGAATAATTCCAGGTGAGAATGAGAAAACATGGAAGAAAGGCAAGAAAAGTGCTGATTCCATCCATCCATCCATCCATTATCTTTTGTGTTGCAGGGGTCACTGGTGCCCATATCCAGCCATCACTGTGCAAGAGGTGGGGGACACCCTGAACAGGTCTCCAGTCCATCACAAGGACATGGAGACAAATGAGACAAACAACCATTCACTCTTTCTCTCTCACCTAGGGACAATTTAGAGTTACCAATCAGCCTAACATGCATGTTTTTGGTCTGTGGGAGGAAACCGGAGTACCTGGAGAAAACGCACACGTGCACAAAGAGAACATGCAAACTCCACCCAGAAAGGTCCCAGGCTGGGATCTGAACTGGTGACCTCAATGAGCGGCAACAGCTCTGCCCAGGTGCTGATCCCAGGAAATTGAAACCCTTCCAGGGTGTCACCTCGAGTGAGCTTCATAAAACCTTGTTAAACTGTTGATGAGACGACCTGCAGACGTTTGAAGACGATCGTCTTCTTCTGAACCGTTTCCTCTGCTCTCTGCAGCCGACAGGGTCAACATGTTCAGCTGCAGAAAGAGAAACGCTCTGAAGGAAGAGCCTGAAACTGTTGAGTTAGTCCAATTTTTAGTTTTCAGCAAACTAATTCTGACCTGACGGTGTCAAACACAGGTCTAAGCTCCCTCAAGGGACTCTGAAAATGTTTTCCTTCAGACCACTATCAGAGGTGGTCTGGACCCTAACGAGCCACGTACAGTTGGCAGTGTGAACACATTCAGTCCTGAGCCAGGCTGAGGAACCTCCTGATGAGGGACCTCCTGATTAGGGACTTCCTGATTAGAGACTTCCTGATGAGGGACTTCCTGATGAGGGACTTCCTGATGAGGGACCTCCTGATGAGGGACCTCCTGATGAGGGACCTCCTGATTAGGGACTTCCTGATTAGGGACTTCCTGATGAGGGACTTCCTGATGAGGGACTTCCTGATGAGGGACCTCCTGATGAGGGACTTCCTGATGAGGGACCTCCTGATGAGGGATCTCTCAATGAGGAACTTCCTGATGAGGGACCTCCTGATTAGGGACTTTCTGATTAGGGACTTTTGATGAGGACCCTTCTGATTAGGGACTTCCTGATGAGGAACCTCTTGATGAGAAACC